GCTACTAAAAATATTCTAACAGGTGAAACGGTGTATCTGTTCACGTATAATGTCAATAGTAGTAATGGCAAGCTCAGCACTGTCACGGATGCGGCTGGCAATAAAGTCTTCCTCTTACGTGACTATAGTAATCAAGTAACTTCCATTGAGAATACCAAAGGACAAAAGTGTAGATTAAGAATGACTAGAATGTGGATGTTGCATGAATTCAGTACACCAGATAATTACAACGTAACGTTCAATTATCATGGGCCCACTGGACTATTAGCCAACAAATTGGATAGCACAGGACGTGGTTATGTCTATGATTACGACGAATTTGGTAGATTGACAAGCGTTGTTACTCCTACCGGTAAAATGATCAGTCTGACGTTTGATCTTAGCTTGAAAGGAGCCATTGTTAAAATTGGACAAAATAACAGAAAGCCCGTTTCCATGCTGATCAAAGGTTCCTCCGTCGTTACGAAAGTTGGTGAGGCCGAACAAAGAACGACCGTTCTTCCTGATGGTTCTGTCGGTATGGTTACACCTTGGGCTCATACAGTTAGCACAGATACTATGCCATATTCGATTCTCGCCGAAATAGAACCGCTTCTTGGTGAAAGTTATCCTGTACTTGCGAAACAAAGAACGGAGATCGCAGGCGATTTGGCCAATAGATTCGAATGGCGTTATTTCCTTAGAAAGGTTCAAGGAAACAAAAATCGTGGCAATTCAAAAGCCGTAGCACAAGTTGGTCGTAAACTTCGTGTAAACGGTGAGATCTTGCTATCTTTAGAATACGACAGAGAAACTAATACCGTCGCCGTTTTCATGGATGATCGAGTGGAGCTATTAAATATAACGTACGATAGAACTGCACGACCATTGAAATGGGGTCCAAGAAATGGAATTTTTGCTGGCGTTGAACTCGAATACGATCGATTTAGTAGATTAACTAGTTGGACCTGGGGAGACATAAGTGAAACTTATGGTTTCGATAGAGCTGGCCGATTATACGAAATTAAATATAGCGATGGAACGTCAATGATCTATGCTTTTAAAGATATGTTCAGCAGTTTACCACTGAAAGTTACCACTCCACGTGGAAGTGATTATTTGTTACAATATGACGAAGCTGGTGCTCTTCAATCTCTTACAACACCTCGAGGACATATTCATGCGTTCTCCCTTCAAACATCTCTCGGATTCTATAAGTATCAATATTATTCGCCCATGAATCGACATCCATATGAAATTCTTTACAACGACGATGGACAGATACTTGCTAAGGTTTATCCACATCAGAGTGGTAAAGTGGCATACGTTTATGATCATACTGGAAAATTGGAAACCACTTTGGCAGGTAAGTTTGATATAATATTATTTATTTACACTATGACGCCATATAAAAGAAGAAAATATTGAAAACAAAACAAAACAAAATATTACATTATTTAATATTATTTCAGGCTTGTCTTCTATACATTATACGTATCAAGAAACAACAAGTCTTGTTCGTAGCATCGACATCAACGAGCCAAATTTTGAAATGCGTATTGAGTACAAATATCACGCAGGAATTGTCAAAGACGAGAAAATCAAATTCGGAAGTAAAAGTGGCATGGACAATGCGCATTATCGTTATCAATACGACGGAAATGCACGTATATCTGGTATCGAGGTGGACATCAATGGAAAACAACTTCCACAGTTACGATTAAAATACAATCAGAATCTTGGTGTATTGGAAGGTGTCGGTGATCTCAGAATCTATAGGAACGTATTCAATAGATCGGTCATGCAAGATAGTAGCAAGCAGTTTTTCACTGTCACAGATTATGACGAACATGGTCGTGTTAAAACTGTTCTAATGAACATTCGTTCTCTGGATGTATTTAGAATGGAACTCGAATATGATAATAGAAATCGTATCAAGATGAGAAAATTGATGATCGGTAAGGATTCCATGGAAAAGAAAGAATGGTCTAGAATGGATAAGATTACGTATAACGCAGATAGTCACGTACTTGAGGTAGCAGATACGGATATAAATTGGCAATACGCATACGATGAGAATGGTAATATAGTTGGTGTTACCGAACATAACGAAAAGATCGTATTAGGTTATGATAGCGGAGATCGGGTAGTTCAATATGGCGACGTAGAATTTAATTCTTACGATGGCCGAGGATTTGTCGTTATTAGAGGAGAACACAAATACAGGTAGGTCCTTAAGAAATTTATATAATAATAATCGTCTATATTACTAATAAAATTTTATTACGTTCTAACGTTTCTTATCGTTCGAATAGGTATAATTCTAGAGGACAGCTTATTCATGCATCGGAACACAAGAAATTCCAAATCTGGTACTTTTACGATGATCGTGGCAGATTGGTATCTTGGAACGACGATCGAGAAAATATCACTCAATTCTTTTATGCCAATCCAAAGACGCCAGATTTGATAACTCACGTACACTTTCCAAAATCTTCTAAGACGTTCCGATTCCTCTACGATCAACGTGATTTCTTAATGACGGTCGAAACCTCCGAACAAAGATTTTATGTTGCAACCGATCAAAATGGTTCACCCTTGGCTCTTTTCGATACCAATGGAAATCTTATTAAAGAAATGCGTCGTACGCCATTCGGGAAAATCATCAAGGACACCAATCCTGACTTTTACTTGCCCATCGATTTTCACGGCGGTCTATTCGATCCAAACACGAAATTGATATATCTTAACAAGAGACTATACGATCCAACCGTAGGACAATGGATGACACCTGCCTGGGAACAAATGGCGAACGAGCTAACAACGCCAACCGACATATTCATTTATCGTTTCCGTAACAACGATCCAATCAATTTCAAACAGAACGTCGAATACATGACGGACTTGGCAAGCTGGCTTAAACTTTATGGCTACGATATCTCTTCAATGCTCGGCTCTGAATATACAAAACAAATGGTTTATCAACCAAGTGCTACGATCACCTCTCCACAATTAACTCCTGATTTTGGTGTTATGTCAGGATTACAATGTATCGTCAATCGTGTTCATGAAAAATTCTCCGATTTAGGATTTGTACCAAAGCCTTTATTAAAATTGGAACCTAAAACGAGAAATCTTCTTCCAAGAGTAGCACATCGCCGTGCGGTATTTGGTGAAGGAATACTTGTATCTAGAGTCGGTGGTAGAGCATTGGTTAGCGTTGTGGACGGTGTTAACACTGTTGTCCAAGACGTGGTGACGTCGGTCTTCAACAATTCTTATTTCTTGCCTCTTCACTTCAGTGTACACGATCAGGATGTCTTTTATTTTGTCAAGGACAACGCCTTAAAAATCCGAGACGATATGGAAGAACTCCAAAGGCTTGGCGGTATGTTTAATGTTTCCACTCACGAAACAACCGAACACGGAGCAGGAACGTGGAAGGAATTGAGACTTCATAATCCAGATGCAGCGGTTGTTATAAAATATGGTGCAGATCCGGAACAAGAAAGGCACAGGATATTGAAACACGCTCATAAACGAGCAGTCGAGAGAGCATGGGAAATAGAAAAACAATTGGTAATGGCTGGTTTTCAAGGTAGAGGGGACTGGTCGAAAGAAGAAAAAGATGAGCTTTTAAATCGTGGCACCGTTGATGGTTACGAAGGTGTCGACATTCACAGTGTCCATAGGTATCCCCAATTAGCCGATGATCCTGGTAACGTAGCATTCACCAGGGATACCAAGAGGAAAAGACGAAAGAGCGGCAATAGACGTAGCAGAAGCCATAGGCACGACTCGTGATTCGAAAGGACAATGCGAGCTCGGGAGATCCTTTGGGACTTGATTCGCGTGCCCGCGTGAATCTCGTGGTGAAAATAAGTGATGGCAAGGAGAAAGGAAACAAATGATAATAATCTTTCTCGCTATCTCTTCTCGACGCACTCAAGGGGAGTAGTATTATGAACGTTGATATGGTGAATTGGGATTGGGAAATTTGAGGGATAGAGAGAGAGAGAGAGAGAGAGAGAGAGAGAGAGAGAGAAAAGAGGAAGTGGCGGCATAGGAAAAGTGAAGGAGATGGGATAGGGAAATTTAAAAATGTACAATCTCTCTCTCTTGATCGTTCGCTCCGCGTCCAATGACGTGTCAACTAAAATCGTGCATAAATCCTAAATTCCGGTAAAAGGAAACGCGTTAAATTTGTATTCTTTATAACGATTATTCTCTTCTCGTTGCTGTTGACATATTCGTTTCGGGAAAAATAATAATAATAATAATAATAATAATAATAATAATAATAATAATAATAATAATAATAATAATAATAATAATGACGAAACGAATAAAGAAATTTAAAGAGACTTCGGATATTGTTCTATACAGTATGATCTCAAAAGGAGAAAAGGTTTTTAAATCGAATGAAGTGTTACGCATATACTTTAAAGGTGCCGTCCGTGACGATTGAATATCTAGAAAAACGAGTGCGTGATAAAGAGAGGGCGAGGATACGGGAAAAGTAGAATAAAAGAAATAAGAAGAAGAAGAAGAAGAAGCAGAAAAAAGAAGAAAAAGAAGATGATAGTCTCGCATATTCGTTGGAACGTCGATCATTGAAAACGGGATTTCGAATAACGTGTGTGTCCTATGTGATCATCATCACAGGGTCTCTACGATGTGACATATGAGTAATAAAATGACGTTTCGACGTTTGATTATCGAGACACGTACGTGTTCGTCCGAAGATAAAACCGAGAGGAGTATATGAATGAAGATGAAAAAAAAAACAAAAAGAAAAAGAAAAAAAAGAAAAGAAGAAGAAGAAGAAAGAAAGAAAGAAATACACTAGCGTACTTTCCCACACGTCAGATATTTTTAACATGACGTAATTATGTGTATTAGAGAAAGAAAGAGAGAAAGGGAGAGACAGAGAGAGAGAGAGAGAGAAGAGAGAGAGAAGAGAGAGAGACAGACGCGAGCAATTGTAAATAAAGCTAATCGATTAATGGTAAATGTAGATAATATACATATGAACACACATATATATATACATATATATATATATATATATATATATATATATATATATATATATATATATATGAACGCGAAACTCTCGGTTAAAACCGGGGGATAGAACTGTCGATAAAGAAAAAAAAAAGGAAAAAAAAAAAGAAAAAGGAAAAAAAAATGGGAAAAAAAAAAACAATGCTTTTTTATATGTATTCGCGCCAAGTACGCGACTAGGTAAAAAGGGAAATAAAAGTGATGCGTGACAGAAAACGTTGCGATGGATATAGTGACGGAACGGAACGATAATAGAGATAGAGAGAGAGAGAGAAAGAAAGAGAGAGAGAGAGAGAAAGAGAGAGAGAGAGAGAGTTGATAATTTCGAAAAGTATAATTTAAATCAGACTAATCCGTAAGCCGTCACGCGTGCTGTCGTGCCGTTTAAATGTTACGCGAAGTGTGCTAAAGAGGTGTTTTCACTCGATACGTCGGTAGACACGTGTAAATAGTTCGATAGATAACGGGACGCGTTCGTGTGTCGCGTGTAAAAGGGAAGAGAGATCGTTTTTAACGATTACGTTCTACCCTTCTCTTCGGTATAGTAGTAGACGGGGTGGGAGGGTGGGAGGTGCCGGCAGCAGGGACGTCGGCGGCGGGGGAGGGGGGTTTGGGAAGAAATAAACACGGTCGAAATGATATTGTCCACGAGAGAAATAATCGCTAATAAATAATGATATGATAACGTTAAGAATAATAAAACGATTAATAATAAGAATAACGAGGATAAGAAGTAATAAGAAGTAATAAGGGATAGTAATAATTAACGAAGTTTATGATAAAAGGTAATATTACTATTGTACGAAAATGCCCCGCCTATCTTTCTACTAAAAATGAGAAATTATTTTTTGAATTGTGTCGTCGAAGAGGTCCTTTGTAGCCACCGTGTGTCTGTGGGATCGTCCTCCCTTTTTCCCCTCCATGATAATATAATATACCATTCTACCCTCGTTCAACCCTCGCGAAACTTCATTGAAAAAAAAAAAAGAGAAAAAAATAAAAACAAAAAAAAACAAAAAAAAAAAAGAAGACACATCCACTGTCCTGTCCTGGTCCCCGTATAAAAAAAGAAAAGAAAAAAAAATGAAGTAAAATAAAATAAAATAAAATAAAATAAAATAAAATAAAATAAAATAAAATAAAAAAAAAACACATACTTTGTAAAAGATATAGTTGAACATTGTCGGTGTTTATCAGTATCGAGTAATGAAGTAAAAATGAAAAGAAAAAAAAAAAAATAATATGTAGATCGAACTCCGTGGTTTGGATCAAATGAAGTAACTGAGCATAGAAAGTAAAGAGAACAAAAAAAAAATATAACTGCATACGTATAATTATAATAGAGAAAGGGAGGAAGGGAGAGAGAGAGAGAAAGAGAGAGAGAGAGAGAGAGAGAGAAGAGCAACGAGCCAACGTGTGCGAGTGTGCCACGGTCGCTCAACCACGTTGTGTTCCACGTAGGTGTATAATAAATTATAAAAAGAATAAAAGAAGATAAAAAAAAAAAAAAGAAAAAGTATACATAATCATAATTGCAGCGTACGTAACTAGTTGACGAGTTGTGACGACTGTGTGAATGGGTGGGGGGGTGGGCGGGATAGGTGGGAGATTTAGTGAGCAATTTAAAAAAAAAAAAAAAAAGAAAAAAAGGTAAAAAAAAAATGCGAAGAAAGAAAATGAAAAAAAAGAGTATGCCTAATGACCCTTATACAGAGATTTACATTGTACATATCCGTTGTGCATAGACAGAATGTGCCGGCAGAATATCTTTTGCATTTTCTCAAAAAAAAAAACCAAAAAAAAAAAACTAAACGAAAAGAAAAGGAATGGGAAGATTAAGGAAAGGAAAGAAAAGGAAGATGAAAATAACATATGAAACGACGAGAGATCACGTACGACGCGAGACCGAAGTGAAAACTTCTCTCTCACATTTATAAATAATAAATTCAAATTTTACTTTTTACGACGCTACAAAAGATCTATATTTTAACGATTTTGCAATCCCGTTGTATCCATGTCGTCGTGATTTCCCGTCGATCTTCTATAAAATTCGTTGTTTCTCAATGATTCTTCTTTATCTATTTGTGAGACCCGACACGTGCATACATCCATATACACATATTCTATTATTAACTAAACGAAACGACACACGCGCGACGAACTGTGATTCAAATTCTAATCTCTCTTCTCGTATTATTTTGTCAATTTAAAAATGAATAATTCTAGCCGAATTTAATTTTCACATTTTCAATCCTTTAAAATTGATTTCGCATGGTATCGTTGAAATTTGCGGTTTACGCGTTTGTTTGTTCGTTTGTTTTTTTTTTTTTTTTTTTTAATTTTTTTTATTTTGTTTCCTTTCTTTTTCCTTCTTTTTTTCTTTCTTTTTACCAAAACCCGGCAGAATATAACAAATATAATAGATAATAATACTAAAGATAATAGTAATAATAATAATAATAATAATAATAATAATAATAATAATAATGATGATAATGATAATGATAATGATAATGATAATGATAATGATAATGATAATGATAATGGTAATGGTAATGATAATGGTAATTTAAAGAGAAAAAAAATGGAAAAAGGACAAAAAATAAAAGCAGAAGAGGAAGAAGAGGAAGAAGAAGAAGAAAAAGAAGATGAAGAACAACAAAAAACAGAAAATAGTAATGATAACACGTTGGACACGGGAGAAGGCTTGTAAAAAGTTTATAACTTCGCCTATTATGCGAATCGATAGGTAAAAAATAGGAAGAAAGAGAGAGAAAGAGAGAGAGAAAGAGAGAAAGAGAGAGAGAGAGAGAGAGAAAGAGAAAGAAAGACAGAGATAGAAAATCGACAAGACATTTAAAAAGAAATAAAAAGAAGAAGAAGAAGAAGAAAAAAAAAGCCCTGTAATCGAGTTAAACTTTACGCTTAAGCACGTTGCTTCCTTCGCGCTTGCGCTATAATGTCGACGAGGAGCGAGTTCCAGGAGATATTTTCAAAATTTGTCGGGATTATCCCGCACTTCATCCCCCGCCCTCCCCCCCACTCTTCTTCTCGCTCGGAATTGATGATGGGAATCGAACCTTGACGACTATCACGCGTAGGAAGGAAGCGAAATTTATTATTGTTACGCACGGCCCACCTATTTCCTATTTTCCTCTCGTGAAAATATATATATATATATATATATATATATATATATATAATCTTCGCAAGTGGAAATGAAAACGGGTGTGTCGGCACGCGACTAAGGAAAAAGCAATACTTCGTAAAACTATCGTGTATGTTGTCTTAATAATACCGAAAGCCTGCTGCGAGGAAAAGCAAGTGAGAGATATGTTTAGGGAGAGAAAGAGAATGAGAGAGAGTGAGAGAGAGAGATAGATAGTGCGTGTGTATGTGTGTGTGTGAGAGAGAGAGAGAGAGAGAAGAATGTGTGTTGATATGTCATGTATGTACGTATGAGAGAGAGAGCAAGTACCACTATACATATAAATATAAATATAAAAAAAAAATATATATATATATAGATATATATAGATATATATATATGTATATATATATATATATCTATATATATATATATATATACATATATACATATTAATATATGCAAAAATTGTGTTAACGATAAATATCGTGGAAGGGGAAAGAAAGAAAGTTGTGCGCTTTTCTAAAAGTATAAAACAAAATGAAGCGAATCCGGAGGTTTTAATGGTCCTCCTCGCGAGAGGTATAAAAAGAGAGTAAAAAAAAAAAAAAAAATTAATTAAAAAAAAAAAGAAAAGATAAAGATAAATGATAAATGATGGGAGAAAAGAATCGAGAGAGATAGAGGGAGAGGGAGAGTTCGTGAAAGGGAGAGAAAGAGAAAGAGAGAGAAACAAGAGACAACTTATTTGGACCGATCGATCGCTCGTCACTTCACGATTTGTAAATGTGCGTGCACGGACGGGTGTCACGGTCACGTGACAATTTAATTTTGTACATAAAAGCGACGAACGAAAATGATTATATTTTATTCCATTGACGAATTCACGTCGGAAGTCGGATCGGCTTGGGGGACTTGGAGGGTGACTGAGAGAAACATAAAAATACTCGCGAATGATAATACTCTTGATCGAACTGGCATAATACTAGTAATAATAATAAATAATAAATAATAATAAATAATAAATAATAATTAATAATTAATAAATAATAAAAATAATTAAAGAAAAATCGTGAAGGTCGTCTCAATCTAACGTGTCCCCGTTATACTTTCATAAATATTATCAGAAGAAAAAAAAGAAAAAGAAAAAGAAGAAACGCAAAACAATATTAATATTTCCTTATTCCCTCGTTAGTCGTGCGTTGAGAGACGGCGAAGAAGAAGAAGAAATAAAATAAGAAAATAATTTTTGATAGAAGGAAAATAGTACGACGAAGATAATTTTAATGGGAAAAGGTTCGCGATATAAAAAAGAAAAAAAAAAAAAGGAAAAAAAAAAGGGGGAGAAAAAAAAATTTGCAGAAAATCGAATTACCAGGGACAAATAAATTTACGACTCTCCTCCGCTCGTTCGATCCTCATTTCGTCCGGCTCGTTCGTCCGTTCGTCTGTATTTTTGTTTTCTTTTTCTTTCTTTTTTTTTTCTTTTCTTTTCTTTTCTTTTCTCGTTTTCTAAGTACACGGAATGGCTGAAAGAAAGAAAGAAGGGGAAAAATGAAGGAAGAAAAAAAGAAGAAAAGAAAAAGGCAAAAGGAAGGAAATGGAAAAACATATGTACATATTGATAATTGCGTTCATTGTGTAAATACTCTTTCAAGGAAACATGACAAACGTAAAAAAAAAAAAAACACATATACACATACACATGGGCACGCATGCGCACGTCATTGTACGCGTCGTGCTCAACGCGCGAGGTTTATTTTATAAGACTACATTATTATATATATACATATATATATATATGTATATATATATATATATACAGACACACACATACATACACATATATATATATAAATATATACATACATATATATATATATATATATATATATATTACCGTGTAATGATATTTAACAATAAGGTACATATATTCTATACTCTTA